ACCCCCCCCCCGGCCAATCCGCCCGCCCGGCCTCGCCTGCGCCTGGAACTCCCGCAGCACCGCGGGGAAGTGCACGCAGCTGGAGAGGAAGGTCACCGCCGTCTTTCGAACCAGGTCATGACCGCAGCCCAACAGGGACAGTGCGGCAGCAATCACAGCTCCGGGACCTGCCCGGGGGACAGCGGCGGAGCCGCCACCAGCGGTGGTGGCAGCAGCTCCCGAGTACTGGGGAGCTGGTGGTGGTGGTGGTGCTGCTGCTGGAGCCTGCGTCCCTTGTTGTTGTTGTTGTTGTGCTGGTGCTTGTGGTGGTGGTGGTGACGGTGGTGATGGTGGTGATGGTAGTGGTGGTGGTGGTGATGATGGTGGTGGAGGTCCTGGCGTTATGAGGCGCTCGAAGGCCAGGGGGGCTGCAGCCAAGCTGTACAGCAACATGGCCAGGCCGGAGAAGGTGTGCGGGTTCCTGGGGCCGTAGCGGGGGGTAGGGGGGGGATACGTGGGAGGGTAGGGGGGGTAGGGGAGGAGTAGACGGGGGGGTAGGGGGGGAGTAGACGACCACGTGTGTAAGTGGAGAGGGTGTGGCCAAAGCGTCGTCAATGGTGCAATTTCTCTCCCTCAACGCATGTTATGTATGTATGTATGTATGTTATGTATGTATGCATGTGTGTATGTATGCATGTATGTATGTATGTATGTATGCATGTATGTATGCAATGCTATGTATGCATGTATGTATGTAGTTGTGGTAGGAGGAGGGGCGGGGCGGGGTGCGTGTCTATCAAAAAGCGCCAGGAACGGACCGCCGGAGTACCGCCGGCACACGCACATGGCAATACCGCCGGCAGCACCAACGCCAAGGTACAGAGGGTAGCTCTGCAAGGTGTGCGGCTCTAAGCCACACAGGTTTGCGGAGGGCAAGTCACCGAGCGCGGGGACGTAGCGACCAAGTCGACCACGACGGCGGCGGCGACAACGGCACACTCGCCTGGGCAGTGTCAGTGCGAGCTCCACACCGCCCGACTCGACGAACACCTCTGAAAAGCGGCGGTGCGCCGTCAGAGCCACGCAGGCCGCCAGCGTGTCGTACAGCAGCCGCCCGTCGGCGGCGGCGGCGGCGCGGCGCATGAGCTCTAGGAGCGCCTCCGCGCCCCGCTCCGCCAGCACGGGGCCCAGCGCATCCACGAACTCCCCCACCGCCGCCAGCAGCGCCGCGCAGTACTGCAGCCGGAGCCGCCGCAGCACCGCGGGGGGGTGACACAGAGCCCGAGGGGACGCCGCGGCGGCGGCGGCGGCGGCAGCTGCTGCCGGCGGAGGCGGTGCCGGCGGCTGTACCGGCGCCAGCGCCACGGGCACATGAATGTTTTCTATGAGTGCAGTGCGCATGTACTTCGCGACCCATGCGACCTGGGGCGTGGAGGCGGCCGGACCGGCGTAGTCCTCGTTGGTCATTGCGATAGAGAGTAGCCCTGCGGCAGCAGCAGTAGCAGAAGCTTGTAAGATTAGTAATTTGTCCAGTGAGATAATTAAAATAGTTTAGCAGTAGCAATAACAGCAGTAGCAGCAGCAGCAGTGATTTGGGCACACAGAGGGACGCGCTACAGGCCAAAGGCAAAGGAAAGCACACACCAACACGGCAAACAGGGGGCGTGACGCAGTACAGCCAACATGTACAACAATACCTCCTCCCATGACCAGTGCCACTTTTAAACGCACCACAGCAGTCCGCAAGAGCCACACCGCACCTGGACTGAACAGCTCCGATACCACCACCACCACCACCACCACCACCAACACCACCTCCCCACCACCACCTCCCCACCGCTCCCCTTCCGCCGCTAGCCCCCATTTCCGCTTGTCGTACTCCGGTAAAGCAGCAACCCCAGATTACCCAACTGCCCTCCCGCCCAACCGCCGGACCTTAA